TTTTTAGGTACATAGGGAGTTAGGGACCAAATTTAATAACTTTCCAAATATTGTAATCTATTGATTGAACAAATATCATCATTCTAGCATTCCAATAGTTATAATGAGTATCATCAAAAAAAGGAGGACGATTTGTAGAATGTCTCTCAAGATTTGAAAAAATGTGGTTAGTCATTACTCAAGATTGTAGATTCTTAATTTCAACATGAGCACTTTGCTCTGATACCAATTGATGGCACAAGAATGGCTAACCAGATGGAGGTGAATTGGTTTTTATAAACTTTTTCAAAAAATTAATCAATTCAAACAAGTAAAGACTAAATAGATTAATTCAAATAATAAGCACAAATATAAAAGCGATGAATAAAAGGAAGAAATGATGCAAACGATATAATTGTGGAGGTTCGATCCAAATCAATGATCTACGTCCTTCGTTACCAAGCTCCCTGGCACGAGCAAGACATTTTCACTACGTTGATTGATTTATGGTGCAATCGAACCCTTTACAATGCTTTCGGTGACTTACAGATAAGGAGCACCGATCCTTATACAATATTAAGCTTTACAGGACCTCAACACAACCCACTATTGAGTTTTCACGAGACTTCAATAAAATTCGGGAGCACCGATCCTTATACAATGTTGACCTTTAAGGGACTTCAACACGACCCACACTTTATCAAAGTAATTTTACAATGAAATTTCTGTCTTGATAAATAATACAAATAAGTTAAGTACTAAAAGGGGCTAACACTTCGATGAATAGTAATAAATGATAGCTCAAGTGTTAGATGAAAAACTTTGATGAACATGATAATCTAAAATTAAATTCAATCAATCAAAGTGTTTCAATGAGAAGATGAAGAGGAAATAAATGCAATGTAAGTTCAAAAATCTTCTCAAAATATATCTCTCTTTTAATGAAAAATTGTAATAAATTAAGTACTAAGAGAGAAATGAGAAACTTTGATAAATATGATGATTTTACAAGTTTGATTCAATTAATCAAGGTTTTCAACATGAAGAAATAGAAAAGTTTATGCAATATAAGTACAAATATCTTCTTAAAAGAAATATCTCTCTTTTAAGATTAATATAAATAAGTGAAGTACAAAGATAAATGAAAAATTTTGATAAGAGAAATGATT